TTTTCGGGTCGAAATTTTGAGTTTCGATATCTCAGCTCTGGAAGGGTCTAGAGCCTCCATTTTTGCTTTCAGGTCAAAGTCTCGCGGCCCTCTATCATAATCCAGAGTTTTGAGAAGATTGGAGAAACTTGATTTTTCGCCCGAAAACGAAAAAAAACGTAAGGGGTAACACTGTCGTTTTTTTTTCGGGTCGAAATTTTGAGTTTCGATATCTCAGCTCTGGAAGGGTCTAGAGCCTCCATTTTTGCGCTCAGGTCAAAGTCTCGCGGCCCTCTATCATAATCCAGAGTTTTGAGAAGATTGGAGAAACTTGATTTTTCGCCCGAAAACGAAAAAAAACGTAAGGGGTAACACTGTCGTTTTTTTTCGGGTCGAAATTTTGAGTTTCGATATCTCAGCTCTGGAAGGGTCTAGAGCCTCCATTTTTGCGCTCAGGTCAAAGTCTCGCGGCCCTCTATCATAATCCAGAGTTTTGAGAAGATTGGAGAAACTTGATTTTTCGCCCGAAAACGAAAAAAAAACGTAAGGGGTAACACTGTCGTTTTTTTTTCGGGTCGAAATTTTGAGTTTCGATATCTCAGCTCTGGAAGGGTCTAGAGCCTCCATTTTTGCGCTCAGGTCAAAGTCTCGCGGCCCTCTATCATAATCCAGAGTTTTGAGAAGATTGGAGAAACTTGATTTTTCGCCCGAAAACGAAAAAAACGTAAGGGGTAACACTGTCGTTTTTTTTTCGGGTCGAAATTTTGAGTTTCGATATCTCAGCTCTTGAAGAGTCTAGAGCCTCCATTTTTGCGCTCAGGTCAAAGTCTCGTGGCCCTCTATCATAATCCAGAGTTTTGAGAAGATTGGAGAAACTTGATTTTTCGCCTGAAAACTAAAAAAAACGTAAGGGGTAACACTGTCGTTTTTTTTTCGGGTCGAAATTTTGAGTTTCGATATCTCAGCTCTGGAAGGGTCTAGAGCCTCCATTTTTGCGCTCAGGTCCAAGTCTCGCGGCCCTCTATCATAATCCAGAGTTTTGAGAAGATTGGAGAAACTTGATTTTTCGCCCGAAAACGAAAAAAAACGTAAGGGGTAACACTGTCGTTTTTTTTTTCGGGTCGAAATTTTGAGTTTCGATATCTCAGCTCTGGAAGGGTCTAGAGCCTCCATTGTTGCACTCAGGTCTAAGTCTCATGGCCCTCTATCAGAATCCAGAGTTTTGAGAAGATTGGGGAAACTTAATTTTTTTTTATTCCAGAAGATCAGAGATACTCAAAATTTCGACCAAAAAAAAAAAAACGACAGTGTTACCCCTGTCGTTTTTTTTTTGTGCGAACAAATAAGTTTCTCCAATCTTCTTGAAACTCTGGATTCTGATAGAGGGCCATGGGACTTAGACCTGAGTGCAAAAATGGAGGCTCTAGACCCTTCCAGAGCTGAGATACTGAGATATTTATATTGGCATAAATGCTACGTGGTATCTCAATATCTCAGCTCTGGCAGGGTCTAAGAGCCTCAATTTTTGCACTCAGGTCTAAGTCCCATGGCCCTCTATCAGAATCCAGAGTTTCAAGAAGATCAGAGAAACTCAAAATTTCGACCCCCCCCCCCCCCCCCCCAAAAAAAAACTACAGTGTTACCCCTGTCGGGTTTTTTTTTTGTGCGAAAAAATGTTTTTCCAATCTTCTTGAAACTCTGGATTCTGATGTTACCCCTGTCGTTTTTTTTTTTGTTTTTTTTTGGCGAAAAATAAGTTTCTCCAATCTTCTTGAAACTCTGGATTCTGATAGAGGACCATGGGACTTAGACCTGAGTGCAAAAATGGAGGCTCTAGACCATTGATCATCAACTGGCGGCCCGCGGCCCGCCAAGCCGTTCGATCCGGCCCGCGACTGGATTCCAAAATTGTGAGGATCAAAGAGAAAATATGAAGAGTTTGGTTCCAAAACGCGATAAACGCCATTTAAAAAAAAAAAATAGTTACTGCAAAAATCGGACTTTTCAATACCGACCAGATACAAAACAATGTTTAATTTTACGTAAAATGCGATATCCGCCGTGTTATTATGTAATGTTTTCTCCCTTTCTTTCCAAAACGTGACAAACGCCAGTCTCCCTTTTCTGCAAAATGCGACATATCCGCTTGCCCAATCACAACGGGTATAATAAAAGTAACCTAAGTTACCTAACCTAACCTAAGGTTTATATATTTTTTTAAATGTTCAGCAAAAAAGTTGAAATCCCTGTGGTCACAGCTTTTATGTGTCAACACTGTCTTCAAAGATGATTTTAATCAAAAATTTTGAAATAAAAGTTGGTATTTTGGTTTAGTTTAATGGCAGCTGGCAACTCATAGACATACACCAGACCTCACCTTGGCTACGGCAGTTCATTGGAACGAATGTGTCAATAGAGCTTGAAACAGAGGAGCCCCTCCACTTTAATGCATCAGCGTCAATGTAGACACAGGTCTAACGGAAATAAAATCACCATAAATCATCATGAATGCGATTTTTCTAATTTTTTTCGTTTGTTACAAGGGTCAGACATGTATTTATCATTGATTCCAGAAAAAAAATTATAATAAACATTCTTCCTAGTTCAGATTTCCTCCGTGAACATCATACGCTGCACAAAAGTCCGCCACCATCAATGAATTCGAAGTAAAGGCAGAGATAGCAGCTACTTCAGTTGGACTCTCTGATACTGCTCTGGCCTGGTTTTCATCATACCTCACGGATAGAACAGAGTATGTATCCTTGGGTGCTGCTAAATCGGACACACACTCTGTCACTTGTGGTGTCCCTCAAGGTTCAGTCCTTGGCCCCACCATCACCCCCCTTTCCTCATCTCGTGAACTCCGCTCTGGACAGGCCGATCTCCTTCAGCCTGTGAGGACACGGCTTCGTACTATGGGTGATCGAGCTTTCTGTTCAGTCGCACCTGCTCTCTGGAATGCTCTCCCTGTCCAACTAAGGGTCCCTCAGACTGTTGACTCTTTTAAAAAAAGGCCTTAAAACCCATCTTTTTAGAAAAGCCTTCTATGGCTAACAGTGCTTTTATTTCATTTATTTTTGTTATGATGTGGATGGAGATGAACCCAAACGCAGACGGTGTACAATGAACTCAGGGTTTATCAGGACAAAATAGGAAAACAAAGCCCATGAGGGGGCAAAACAAGACTCTGACAAGGACTAGGAGACTGTCTAGACAAGGTACTGACATAACACTACTAGATAAACGACTGACACGGGCAATTGATTAACAGGACAAATACTCTTGACAGGTACTCACAAACTTGAGACAGCTTAACATTTGGCAACAGTTGGCAATGAACCGACACAAGACAGCAAACACAAGGGGGTTATAAAGGGAACACTAATGACAAGGACAGGTGAGACTGACTAGACAATAATGACGAGACGAGGATAACAAGGGGGCGGAGTAAAGAAACGAGACAACACAAGCACATGGCCCAAACAGGCCATGCGCTTGCACACAAAACATGATTCTGTCATGATCCTGCCTCATGACTAGAGACAATCAAAGACAAGAAGGCAGAATCATGACAATTTTATCTTTTTTTTTTAATGTTCCTGTTTTTTCATGTGTAGCACTTTGAGGTCATTAAATTGATGTAAAGTGCGTTACAAATAAAATATATTATTATTATTATTAACTAAATTTTTCCAATTCAATGAACTTAAAATTTTAAGGCAACCTGGTTACTTATTTTTTTTAAACCAACAATATTTTTTTTATGTCTGTGCTACAATTGGATGACCTGGAGGATATATGAGTCTCTTATGAATTTTAGGAAGAGTGTAAAAGACAGGTCTAATCTCCGAAAAAGTACTGTCTGATGATCAGATTTCAGTTTTATCTAAAGGATTGTCATTTGTGCCTAATGTTTTTGGCTTGTGGCCTGTTTATTTAATTAGTTTCTTTTATTATTGATGATTTATCCATGTTATATTGTGAAAAACACTATTGTCTGTCAATATAAGGCTTGCAGGCCTTCTAACAGCAAACACTCAGAATAAAGTGAGATGATCTGCTGATGATCCTGAATGGCTTGTTGAATGAGTGTTGATAGTCTGAGGATCATCAATATTAACAGATCTGCTGAAAACACTCTTTATTTCATGACAATAGTTCCTGTTTTCACCTCATTTATTATGCTGATGTCTTCACATCTCCTGACACTTAAAGCTCATTTAAATTCATCAATCTCGTGCTCTCTGAGAGATCAAAATTAAGAGCTTCAACCCATGAACTGCTCGTTGAACAAAGAATAGGCATTGATTTGTACCAGGACAATAAAGAGGGCTCAAACATCTTTTTGTTGAGTCTGCATTACATTATCAATGGTGTTTTAGGATGCCAAACAATTATTATAATAATGTAATAATTATTTATATAATTATTCCTATGACGTACAATCCATATAGCCTGCTACATTATAGAAAATGTAAGAAAGTGTTTTTTTTCTTCTCATCGCTTGGGCCCCGAGTGCGCATGGTGAACCTGCAATGAATACATTTGATCGGACCGGCCTCGAAACACTACCGGGCCACCTCAGCAGACTGATAGTTTTTGTTGGTTAATATGTAGCCTATGTTTATTTCTGTTAATGCTTTCAACTGTTTTTCTTAACATTATTTATATTTGGGAGAATTTACATTCTGTTGTCCATGAGCAAACAAACAAACACAAAAAAATTCTGTAATTTATATACCTTAGATTTTGCCAAATCAGTTCCGCCCACAGCAGCCACATCATCAGTGAAGCTCCTCCCACTGTAATTCATCATTGAAGCTCCTCCCACTGTAATTCATCATCATTAAAGCTCCTCCCACTGCAATTCATCATAATTGAAGCTCCTCCCACTGCAATTCATCATCATTGAAGCTCCTCCCACTGTAATTCATCATCATTGAAGCTCCTCCCACTGCAATTCTCCTATAAATGCTGTAAATTCCCATCAGCTACAAGTGAAGACAATCATCAGCGCATCAGGAAGAGCTGAAATCTGCAAAGACTGAGTTTATTAAAGAGGACAGTGAGAACATGAGTGATCCAGAACCCTGCAGAATGAAACACACTGAAGATCCTGAAGAACAAAGAGGTTGGTGTTTATTCTTTATTCATTCATGATGCTGGAGAACATTCGTGTTAGAAACATTCAAGCCCTTCATCACTTTTAGATAAACAGTTCAATTGTGAAATGGCTGAAAAAGTTTTTGTAAATAAAATGGTCAGTAAAGTGAGGTATCATTTTGATTGTAAACACGAGGTCAAACGTTCAAATATTTGAACTTTTTTATTTTACATTTATTTCATATATGGTTTACAATTTGTAACAATTTGTTTCTTGTCAACGGAAGGAGAAGTTTAGAGTGAACGGCCTTAATAATGAAAACTTTTTGTAGTTTTTAACATAACTATATATCATTTTAAAAGTTGGGGTCAAAATATGATAGTATTGTGTATTTTAATGTTCATAGATAATTGTGTCATTGATCAAATATATTTAATAGTTCTGACGACAGAAACATGGGATTTTTGCCTATAAAGTTTACAAAATATTAACTGGAAGATCAGTGTAACTCATTCATGGAATGTTTCAGGGACGTTTGATTAATTTATAAAAATACATAAATTGTAATATTTTATAACAGTTGTCCATTACATCTGGAATATTTTTTTTTATCTCCATTCACTCCATATTTCTCTTTCAATTATTTTGATTATTTCTAAGATTATTTAGACCGGATGGAAGAGAGTGATGAGAGTGAAGAACTGAGTGAAGTGGAGGAGGAACATCATGTCAAACCTGGAGAAAAACCTTTGAGTCGCTCAAAGACTAAACAGACATTTTTAAAGAAAAGAGATAAGAAATCTACAACCTGCAATCAGTGTGGGAAGAGTTTCACACGCAAACAAAGTCTTGAGCATCACATGAGAGTTCACACTGGAGAGAAGCCGTTCACATGTGATCAATGCGGGAGTAGTTTCGCAGCCAAACCTAGTCTTGAGGTTCACATGAGGATTCACACCGGAGAGAAGCCGTTCACATGCCAACAATGTGGGAAGAGTTTTAGTCAATTAGCACACCTTAATGGTCACATGAGGATCCACACCGGAGAGAAGCCGTTCACTTGTGATCAGTGTGGGAAAGCATTTATCAGGGCATCAGACCTGAAGACACACCTGAGAATTCATACGAAGGAGAAGCCGTATTCATGTTCTGTGTGTGGAAAGAGTTTTTCAAAGCTGTGTAATTTACATGCACATCAGAAAATGCATACTGGTGTGAGAGAGTACATGTGCTTTGAGTGTGAGAAGACTTTTACTGCAGCAAAGGACTTAAAACGGCACCAGAGAATTCACACTGGAGAAAAACCTTACAAGTGTTCACACTGTGACAAGAGATTCAGTGTGTTATCATCTCTGAAAATACATGAGAGGATCCACAATGGAGAAAAACCTTACATGTGTTCACACTGTGACAAGAGATTCAGTGACTCATCAACTCTGAAAAGACATGAGAGGATCCACACTGGAGAGAAGCCGCACACGTGTGATCAGTGCGGAAAGAGTTTTTCTATTAAAAATAACCTGAAGCGACACATGAAGATCCATACAGTGGAGAAACCACATCACCACAGTCTGAGATCACGGTAAGTGGTTAATTTTTATGTGCTGAGAACCTTTGGAAAAGCTTCCAGTTGTGTTTCCACTTGAGCCTGGTACGGCACAGCTAATTTACAAACCCGTAATTACGGCCCATAATGCTCAGCACACTAGGCTAATTGTGTCGAACTGTGATGGTAGTTTGTGTGGTGGAAAATGTAATTCTTTCCAGAGAATCGTTAATTTTCAGTGATGATTTATTCGTTGATTTGTTCAGTGACAATTTCTTCATATTACATAAATACGCCAGCAGGTGGCGAAAAAGAGTGTCTTATTGCCTGTTCACCGACGTTTAACGCCTCGCACCTTTGAGTGTGCACACCGACACGAAAAACGTCACGCATAAAAGAGTCTTTTAAAAAAAAAACGCCTTGGGTTCATTATTTTGGTTTGACGCACTGCGTCAAAAACGTTACGACCAATGAGATTAGTGCTTTTGCTCATAACGCACGCCGATATTCGTTTACTCGTAAGAAAAAAATATTTTGCTTTATTAAAATCTGTGAAAATTAACGAACAGAATGCTAAAACACAAATAAAATATAATAAAAGCAGGTAAAGAGTCGTGTAAAGTTAAACCAAGTAAAGAGTCAAGTTGAATCAGTCGAACCAAGTGCATTGTAAAAAAATTTTTTTTTTAGCGTTCGAAACGCCACACGCTGGTCAGAACAGTGTAAATGCAACAAAAACTCAGTCCAAACACGCATAAAAACACCTTTTACAAACCATTGCTAATATGTTATTGAAGGTTATCAATCAAATGCAATCAACAAATCATCCAAGTTCAGGGCTCTTTACGTTTGTTTGCATGGATTGCTCGGCTCAACAGGCGAATACGAGACTTATCAACTACTATTATTTTTAAATCATACAAATGTACCATTGAAATGTCTACAAATACTTAAAACTGATCAGTGATCAGGTCAAACCCATTGACACTTGTTCAATGGTTCGCTCATGGTTTCATTGACATTTAAAACATTTTGAAACGGTTATGAGGCAACGAATCCTCATTTACTGAAATCCCGTGACTTTCACAGTTTGATACATGCTCTGAACCACTGATCTGAAAGATTCATAAAGGTGTCTGTGCTTCACGAAGCAGTGTTTCGAAATCTCCCATCACTACTTTAAAGGGTTAGTTCATCCAAAAATGAAAATTAAGTCATTAATTACTCACCCCCATGCTGTACCAACCCCGTAAGACCTTCGTTCATCTTCGGAACACAAATGAAGATATTTTTGATTAAATTTGAGAGCTGTCTCACTACCACATAGACTTCCGGGACTGGCTCTTGACGGCCCAGAAAGTCAATGAAGAAAATGTTTAAATATCCCTCAACTATAAGTTTATCAAGCAACGAGAATACTTTTTGTCTCCTTCAACTACCTCAGTTCAGTTCTCGCGCATGCGTCGTGGAAATCTAAGAAAGTCTCGTTTCAGGCCTACAAGGAAGAAAAGGAATAGTCGAATAAAGTCGTTATTTTTGTTTTGTTTTTTGCACAAAAAGTATTCTCGTCGCTTGATAAACTTATAGTTGAGCCACTGTAGTCACATGGAATATTTAAACATTTTCTTCATTGACTTTCTGGGCCGTCAAGAGCCAGTCCCGGAAGTCTATGTGGTAGTGAGACAGCTCTCAAATTTAATAAAAAATATCTTCATTTGTGTTCCGAAGATGAACGAAGGTCTTACGGGGTTGGTACAGCATGGGGGTGAGTAATTAATGACTTAATTTAAATTTTTTGGGTGAACTAACCCTTTAAGGACATGAGTAAGCCAAGTTGTTTGCATAAAAACATTGAAACTCACTTGATTTAATGTTTCCTTTAGACCTGATGGAGGTGAACAAGAAAGGAAAAAGAGAAGCCAAAAATCTGCCTCCTCAAAAATGCTTCACATGGAAATCAAGGCTGAAGATTCACATGAGAGTTCACACTGGGAAGAAGCGAAATGCTGGAAGTCCTTCAATCCAGAAGATGAACTGAAATACCACCAGAAAATGCACTCGAAAAACCTTCAGGAGCCGAAGAAGAGGCCATAACACTTTTAATAGAGACATGCATCTGTTATTAATTTTTAACTCGTTATTCACTGTTTTAACATCTAGTTTCTCTTCTTATTATTGATTAAATTCTTTACTCATTTTATTAACATCTCATTGTTATTGTCCTTTTTTTTTAATTTTCTGCAGATTCTGCTTGAATCAGGAATAATTTTAGTTCTGAAAAAGTCATGAAGTATCCAGATATGATTGCTTTTTAAACATTCAATATTTTAGATGTCTCAAAGCTCAGGGTTCGTACACCTTTTCCAAGGTCAAATTAAGCACTTTTCAAGCACTTTCAAGGTCCATGTTAGAGCTTTTTCCAGCACCTTACACCAGCGTAAATTACATACCAATACATAGTTAAAATTATTATTTAGTGTTTTTATCACATTTAAAGAGATAATGCAATAAATTGCCAAAATTGTGTTTCGTAATAGCAGAAGGATCATATATTTTAAGCAAATAACAAGTTTTTTTTTTCAAAATGTATCACTATCTAAACTAGATATTGCTTATGAATAATACTTATTATATTAATGTCCAAATCAGGCAGTAAAACTAAAGTAATTACATGGCATATACATTTATCTGGAATAGAGCAGTGTAAATATTGCATAAAAGTGGTTGTCATTCGCAAGGCTACTTTACTTTTATACTTTAAGTACATTTCCAAGACTGTACTTTGTTACTTTTACTTGAGTAAAGAAGTTAAATCAGTACTTCTACTTTTACTTCTACATGAGTATTTTTAACACAAGTATCTGTACTACTTGAGTACGGGAAGTGAGTAATTTTGCCATCTCTAAACTTTGGCTATGTTCACTGCATATTCCACAAATGAACGAGCCATAACGGACATGCAATACTTGCATTACATTATTTTTAAAGATTTATTATAAAAACAGATTTTTTTCCCACCAAAATGCAATAAATCCATTAATTATTTTTTCAAAATGCAATTAATCTAAATAAATTCCATCCATCCATCCATCCATCTTCTTCCGCTCATCCGGGGCCGGGTCGCGAGGGCAGCAGTCTAAGCAGAGATGCCCAGACTTCCCTCTCCCAAGACACTTCCTCCAGCTCTACTGGGGGGATACCGAGGCGTTCCCAGGCCAGCCGGGAGACATAGTCTCTCCAGCGTGTCCTAGGTCTTCCCCGGGGTCTCCGCCCAGTGGGACGTGCCTGGAACACCTCCCCAGGAAGGCGTCCAGGAGGCATCCGGAACAGATGCCCGAGTTACCTCAGCTGACCCCTCTCGATGTGGAGGAGCAGCGGCTCTACTCTGAGCTCCTCCCGAGTGACCAAGCTTCTCACCCTATCTCTAAGGGATCGCCCAGCCACCCTGCGGAGAAAGCTCATTTCGGCCGCCTGTATCCGGGATCTTGTCCTTTCGGTCATGACCCAAAGCTCATGACCATAGGTGAGAGTAGGAACGTAGATTGACCGGTAAATCGAGAGCTTTGCCTTACGGCTCAGCTCCTTCTTCACCACAACAGACCAGTACATCGACCGCATTACTGCTGAAGCTGCACCGATCCGTCTGTCAATCTCCCGTTCCATCCTTCCCTCACTCGTGAACAAAACCCCAAGATACTTAAACTCCTCCTCTTGAGGAAGGATCTCTCCACCAACCTGAAGGGAGAAAACCACCCTTTTCCGACTGAGGACCATGGCCTTGGATTTGGAGGTGCTGATCTTCATCCCTGCCGCTTCACACTCGGCTGCAAACCGTCCCAGTGCATGCTGAAGTTCCTGGTGTGAAGGGGCCAACACGACAACATCATCCGCAAAGAGCAGAGACGAAATCGTGTGGACTCCAAACCTGACACCCTCCGGCCCCTGGCTGCGCCTAGAAATTCTGTCCATAAAAATCATGAACAGAACCGGCGACAAAGGGCAGCCCTGCCGGAGTCCAACATGTACCGGGAAGAAGTCTGACTTACTACCGGCAATGTGAACCAAGCTCCTGCTTCGGTCATACAGGGACCGGACAGCCCTTAGCAAAGGACCCCGGACCCCATATTCCCGGAGCACCCTCCACAGGCCGCCTCGGGGGACACAGTCGAATGCCTTCTCCAAATCCACAAAACACATGTGGACTGGTTGGGCAAACTCCCATGAACCCTCCAGCACCCTGTAGAGAGTATAGAGCTGGTCCAGTGTTCCACGGCCCGGACGAAAACCGCACTGTTCCTCCTGAATCCGAGGTTCCACTATCGGCCGTATTCTCCTCTCCAGTACCCTGGCGTAGACTTTCCCAGGGAGGCTGAGAAGTGTGATCCCCCCATAGTTGGAACACACCCTCCGGTCCCCCTTCTTAAAAAGAGGAACCACCACCCCGGTCTGCCATCCCAGAGGCACTGTCCTTGACCGCCACGCGATGCTGCAGAGGCGTGTCAACCAAGACAGCCCCACAACATCCAGAGACTTGAGGTTATTGGACTTCTGTGCTAGTTACAGTTTGTCCATAACAAACACCATGTTCAAGCATAAGGGTGTCCACCAGTGCACGTGGCACCAGGACACCCTAGGTCGTAGGTCGATGATCGACTTTGTGGTCGTTTCGGCTGACCTGCGGCCGTATGTCTTGGACACTCGGGTGAAGAGAGGGGCGGAGCAGTCAACTGATCACCACCTGGTAGTGAGTTGGATCCGATGGCGGGGGAGGAGGCTGGACAGACTCAGCAGACCCAAGCGTACTGTAAGGGTTAGCTGGGAACGTTTGGCCGAACCTCCCGTCAGAGAGATCTTCAACTCTCACCTCCGGCAGAGCTACGACCAGATCCCGGGGGAGATATTGAGTCTGAGTGGAGCATGTTCTCCATCTCCATTGTCAAAGCGGCTGCTCGGAGCTGTGGCCGTAAGGTCTCCGGTGCCTGTCAAGGCGGCAATCTTTGAACCCGGTGGTGGACACCGGAAGTAAAGGATGCCGTCAAGCTGAAGAAGGAGTCCTATCGGGCCTGGTTGGCTCGTGGGACACCGGAGGCAGCTGGCAGGTACCAGCAGGCCAAGTGGACTACAGCCCGAGTGGTTGTGGAGGCAAAAACTCGGGCCTGGGAGGAGTTTGGTGAGGCCATGAAGAAGGACTATCGGCTGGCCTCGAAGAGATTCTGGCAAACTGTCGGCGCCTCAGGAGAGGGAAATAGTCCCCTACCAATGCTGTTTACAGTAGGGGTGGGCGGCTGTTGACCTCGACTGGGGATGTTGTCGGACGGTGAAAGGAAAACTTCGAGGACCTCCTCAATCCCGCCGTCACGTCTTTCATTGTGGAAGCAGAGGCTGAGGGCTCAGGGGTGGACTCGTCCATCACCCTAGCTGAGGTCACCGAGGTAGTCAAGAAACTCCTCCGTGGCAAGGCACCGGGGGTGGATGAGATCCACCCCGAATACCTCAAGTCTCTAAATAAATTCAAAATAACATAAAATTTTATATACATTGAATTTGTTGTCTTGTGCATTGAATTCCGCTGACCTCTCAGTTTACCTTTAAAAGCCTTGGTTATATCCTCCTTATCAAGCTTCATCCTCTTGTCTGTCATCACTGTACTGCGCTCTATGAGTTACATTGAACATGAGATTAGAAGCCCAACACAATTTACAGTGAGCAAAGTTCAAAGGTCACTGATATAGTTATTTGCAGCAATAAAGCAACCTATGAGTATTTGACGATATGTTTTATATTGATAATTGTGGTTTATTTAAAACCTAGAAGAAAGATCTAAAGATTTAAGGAAATTAGAAAATATTTAAAATATTGTATGCCAGGAAAACTGAGACAAGTGACTTACAGCTTGACGAAAGATCATTTACAGAATGAAGCCTTTTTTTTTCCAGGAAATCAGAAATAAATACACAGCTTCATTTTGCAAATAAAAATAATGTTACTGCAATGTTGTACATGTTATACTGACTAATTATTTTTTTTTTTTTTTTTTTTTGCAGATGCATAGGACAATTGTTTTGAGATGAACAAATTAAGATTAAAAAACAAAACAGTGAGCGATTTTTATTTATGCAAACAGCAACTAAAACTTACCAGTAACTTCTGAGGCAGCAGCATCGTCATCTCTTCAAGTTTGCTTCCACTTCTACTTGAAAAGCTTGGTCCTGATTGGTCAAATTGAATGTAGCTGAATTTAAAAAAAAAACGTGCTGTTAAACTTTGTGTCAAAAATACTACTGGCAAAGACAAGTAACGTTAACATAATACAAATCTTACCGAGAATCACAACATAGTGAGGTTCCAAATGTCACACGCCATGCTAACTTGAAGAAGCTGGGTAATCAACAGTTTTCTCAAAACGCTACGTTTCAAAAAGTTTGTTTGAAATTTAAAATATTGTAAGTACAAACTTTTTTAACCTCTCTGGAAAATGTATTTATGATCAATTTCAAATAATAAATGGTTTTGAAATCTTTGTAAGAATCTTAACGTCGCATGCAGTGGACAACATCCTTTTACAAATCTACAAACACGTAAAAGTGAACAACATTAATTTTAGGTATGCTAAAAATGTTTAGGTATGCTATATTTCAATGCTTAATAATAGTTGACAAATGTTTCTAATACATTACAAGTTGGTACATTGTAAATATTTTTTAAATATTAAAATGATAAATACATTTCTATTTATCTCCAAAAGTACTCCAAAAATGTATGGTAAGAGCAACTTAAGTGTGTTTTCTTTAAATGCACTAAAACTTCACTAAAAGTATGCTTGTGCTTAGCATATTTCTAAAAAGTGTAACAAATCATATATTTGTAACCAATGTACTTATAGTACACTTTTTAGAAATTTGTTAAAATTATGCTTGGTTTTCAATATACTTTTAGAAAATATACTTAAGTACTATATACTAAAGTGTGTTAAAATTTGTATTGTGAAAATAGGTAAAAAGCATGATGCTAATATACTTATACTTAATATATTTAAAGATAGTACATTTTTGTTAGTATATTTGCAATGAACTATTGACAAAGGGAATATATATTTCAAATACAATAAAGTATTTTTTACACTAAAGCTGTGGTGAGATATAGTAAGTATGATTTGTAAAAACTATGTTTAACG